ACTTACAGAATAATCATCTTTATTGTAAATAGTACTAGTATCTGGTGTCAGATCATTGATTAACCATATGTATTTCTGTAATGATCTTGGATCTACAGCTTGTACCATATCATGTAAGCCAAATATCTGGGGTTTGGATTTACTGCTCCATACATGCCCGATACTAGTAGCATCAGCACCATTGTCTAATAAGGATATAATACTTTGGGAATCTCGCATGTGCATGTGAAATCTATAGAAACAAAAACAGGTTACTATGTTAACACAATACAACTCTTTGCTTCTCAGCCAAATTTGTTAATTTAAAACTCAGTGCTCAAATCACTAATATAATGAAATTAACTGCCAGTGAGAATAAAGGATTTTACAGTACATACCAAAACAATAATTAATATATACAGATAATAAAGTTACAAAAATCTGACAAGAGTACATGCTAATTACATCAAATCAATTTGAATCTAATCAGATACAAATATTCAAAAACAAATTTGATAATCATCATTTGAATTAAAGATATCAGATATTATTACATATGTACTGCAGTTTATTTTGATTCGTCCCTGAAATCAAAATCGGTATTTCCACAACCCATATGCAAATGAGGTTTGAGAGCAAACAAAGTAGTCCCTTCAGGAGTATCGTTTTTCGAAATAAACAACATTTAGAAGAATGATATTTTCCCCTTGGGGTACATGAATATACTTGCCGAGTGAAATGAAATTCGAACAACAGTAATGGTACTTTTAGGCAGTCACTTATTTTGAGTCAAACTAATTTGCATATCACCCATGCAATAATGTTTTCGGTATTTTCAGTCAATATGCAAATGAACGTGGTATTTCCATTGGCTACCGAACTATTTTTATTTTGTAAACACATTTTCGTCTGCTATTTTTATCCGGTTCAAATCGTTCAGCAACATTTTTGGCGTGTTAGGTGTACATCACATGGAATACTACGATTGGGAAAACTTAATGTATGTTGATCACCTGGAAATTGAGTTATATAAACTTTGAAGGGCTCTGGAAAGATCCACCCGCAGTAAAATCAGCGATTACTATAGAGCCGCAACCATCAGTATCGAGATACCAGGTTTCTGCTGGCGACGTTGCGGCATTACTGAGTTCCAAATAAAGATTTTTAACGCCAAATGAGCAACATTTTAACCGGTAACCAAGACTCATTCAATCCACGACCAGCAAAGCAATATCACAAAAGAAGTTGTAGCTTGCAGCTCAGCGATGACCGCTGTCGCCGAAAGTCATCCTGTCTGTGGAGTACCGCAGTTGCACGGCTTGTTTGCCAATGCACATTTCTGGGGAGGAACTTTTAACTTCAACATAAACTGTGTATCATAATCGTCCAGTTCAAGTTCTGGCTCTGTTGTGGGCCCGACTAAACATCCACGAGTAATTTATTCAGACAGTGATTTAGATTAGACATATGATTATTATTTCCACACAGACAGTGACACGCGTTCTACACTGGCACGCGTTGCTAGGGCGTAACACTATCTTGGAACATATTAATGGGCAATGGGGTTCCCCGATCTAAATTCCATCTGATTTGTTTGCACGTTCTTTCTTTAATATGAAATAATCAAATATGGAACATATGTAATAATAACAGAACCCCACACCCTCCGCGTGGCTTTCGTTGCGTATGGAAGTTATTTTCACTCGAGATGCGGTGTATTCGCTTCACTCGTGAAAGTACGGCCGCAGGATACACCGCATCACCGCATCATATAAACTTTATGTGCATATTAGTTATTCACATTTTACTGGGCCAAACATTGGTTACATAAAATTACATAATTTTTAAATATAGTTTCAAATGTTTGCAAAGATTTGTTCTATTTAAACAAGTCATGAATCTTAACTCTGTAATCACGTATATCTATATTTTTTCAATATGACCTTGAATAGCAATAAGCAATCTATTCTCAAATATACAAGACTTTCCTGAAACTGTATTGAACAGTCTATTGTTAGCATCTCGTACTATACTCACTTTTCAGAATGACGTCGTAGTCTTCTTACAAAACCTGGATATGGATTGTATGGTAATTCTGGTCTATTCAGCAATGACTGGCATAGCTGTGACATAACAATTTCTAATTCAGTATCTTGTATGTATTTAATCATCATAGCAATGTTAGCAGCTACCTGTGGATCATCTGGAGGGTCATAGTTATATCGTTGTCGACTATACAATTGTTTGTCTTCTGTATCTGAGTTCTAAGTAAAAAATATATGCATATGTGTGATTTATTTATTGTAAAAATTACAATATATCACATATTGTTTTGTTAGTGAGATTCCTGAATATACTCATGTACTATATGAATAGTGAACACAGAACCCAAAGAGTAGTAATACATGTCCAGTATGGTTATATATGTACAAGTAGATGACAATTGTTACAAACATTATATGCGTTTAAAAACAGTAGTAAAGAAAAAAAATTGTTTCTTATTGTCATTCCAAACATTATTTTGAAACATATGGCTAAGGAGTGAACCATTAGAAACACTGAGAGGGAAATTACAAAAAAACTGAACAAAATTTGTTTTTTTTTACTTAGTTATGTGATCTTTTTTTAAGCGTGCAGAATTTTGTTTTCTGTTATTGGTCCTGCAGGATTTATTTTAAATTTCTTTCTGTGCAAATTATTTTTAATCCTGCCATCCCCATCTACAAGAGTTTCTAATAATCAACTCCTACACATTTTTTTACATGTGAAATGTAACACATATGAAAGAATGTTTGCTGAAAGCAATTAATTATGCAAATTAGAATTGAGAGGTATAATAACATCCCCTCCCCAATCAAAAAATACCTCAGATTGGTCAGAGTCATCAGAATCCTTTTCTTTGATAGCTTGAAGTTTTCCCTTTTTCTTTTTCCGGAGATTCTTAATAAAATTGGCAGCCAATCCCATTGAGGCAACTGATGATCCACGCTGGCTCTGTGCAGTGCCACTTCGTGACTTTGCAGTAGACATGTTTTTTAATTAACTTGTGCACTCCTACAAAAAAAGCACAAAGAAAATGAAAACTGGTATTTTTGCTGACATGTTGACCTGTGATTCTGCTTCAAACTGAATAAACTAGTTTAAATATCTAACTGAATCAAGATTGACAACTTTGAACACTGTTCATAGTAATTGTATGCGAGGTAAGTGGATAGAAAACAAACACCTAGTATAAGTGATAATATAAATTGTTTTTACCAAAAATGTTAATAATACTATTGCAAGAAAACTCTTGCATTTTTGCAAAAACAAAAAACATTATTGATGTATCAGTCATTACCACACAATGGTAATCACGATTAAAAACAATATATTGTATGGAAAAAGTACATCAGTCAATTTAGTTGAAATATACTGGTATCATTGTCATTTTTGTCATGTGCCTCACCCATACACAGTTCTATATAAGTGTGTTTTCAGCAGAAAAATGTGGTAGGTATACAGTGGGTAAACTATGACCCCTAATAATTAGAATTCCAGTTTATACAAATACATTATATAATGCAATATATTGCAACTCAGGAAATATGTTTTTAGAATTATAACAATAATATGTGATTTTGAAAACCCAATGTAAGTTTTGAATAGAATGAGTAAGTGGATATTGTGGTATTGTAAAACTGGCTAATTTAGGCAATTCTTATGATGTACCGGAATATGGAGTATCTGATTCCCAGACAATTTTAACTTTTATGTACCAAGTTTCATTTCAGTCCTTGTCACATTTCATAGTTGTGTAATTGATGCAAATAATCACATTCAGGCTTATCCCAGAACACGCATCTTTGATGTGTAGATCTAGAAATAACTGAAAATTGCCTAATTTATGCAAGCTACATTTCAACCCTCACCAGCAAAGTGCATTATCTCAAAGCATCTGTGTACCAAGTTTTATTGGTACTGGAGTTACAAATGTGTGGCGCAATTAACATGGGGCCCATGGGCACCAAAGTTTTTCTTACAAAATGTACTGTTGTATCTGTACCATTGTTGTTTCTTTATTCTGTTTTTTCGTGCAGAGAATTATAGGCGACATGAACAAATATGGTAATACAATCCAGGTCATGGCCCAATAATCTGACTTTCAGCCAAATATTCATATATATACCGGTAAATGTACCAAAGTGAGCCAAGTACGGGTGAAAAGTATGGGACATACTTTTCAGAAAATAGCGAGTACGGGTGATATTTGTAGCGAGTATGGGCGATCTTTGTAGTGAGTACAGGTGATATTTGTAGCGAGTACAGGTGATATTTGCAGCGAGTACGGGTGATATTTATAGCGAGTATGGGTGCTATTTGTAGCGAGTATGGGTGATATTTATAGCGAGTACAGGTAATATTTGTAGCGAGTATCAGTGGTACGAATCTTACGAGAACTAAATGTGGATGTGAAGCAGCTATGTTTAATTAATCATATATTCACTCACTTTGACCCTTATGACCTAACAAAATGGACGCCTCGTAAACAAAGGTGCCCCGTAACTGACTACATACGTAGTTTTACCACAAGACAGATCAAACATCACCTTAATCAGGACAAACACACCAACATCAAGATTAAACATTGAATGTAAGTGAATACAATATTTGCATTACCAAAAAAACCTGCAGCAAATATTGCAAAATCACCAGTTGTGGACTTCAGAGGGCAGTGGTCACCACATATGCACAAGATATGGGTCTCATATGAGTAAAGCTGACAACTTGACTGCGCAGACAACAAGTACAAACTGAGATGTTACTGAGCTTTCGTGATTGGAAGTTATCAAAGGAGTCACCGTCAGTACTTAGTGCATGTCAGTACTTAGTGCATGTCAGTACTTAGTGCATGTCAGTACTTAGTGCATGTCAGTACTTAGTGCATGTCAGTACTTAGTGCATGGCGTGCCCAGATCAAAACTCATACCTATGATTTTCATTAGATGAGCACATTGGATTGTGGGAAAAATCAGTGTTTATCAACACAAACGTCGCACATGCATGGCGTGACGATCTAATTTCCAATGCAAACAAAATTATCTAGAGTGATTTTGGATTTGTTTTAAAAGCTGTTTCCAATAAAGTTACAGTTTATAAACATACAAGACATGACATGTCATGTCATAGCCCCCGTTCAGAAATAAATCTAAAAACTTATAATATTGAACTGGGTTTGTGTCAGTGAATTAATTCATCATGAGCTGTATTAAAATTCTGTTATTAATTGTTCAGAATTGATGTGTTACAATTATAGGGGGATGGGGTAAAAATTTGTTCATTTGACTTTTCTGAGACAATTTATAACTTGTTAAACATATAATGCAATGTGCACTTGTAAACTGGATGACACATATCTAAGAAAAAGCTGTTAACAGCTAGAAAAAGCTTTATTTTTTTTTTATTTTTGAGGGAAAAAATGGCCTCCAAGTCGTAAAACTTTATCCAATCAAACAGGGCATGAATGACACTGAAAGTTGCAACATATAATTTGTCCAGTTTTTGGCATGGATGTAAATTGGCAAACATGATGATGTACAATTTAGGGGGTGGGGTAAAAATTTATTCATTTGGCTTTTCTGAGACAATTTATAACTTGTTAAACATATAATGCGATGTGCACTTGTAAACAATTATTACCTGTCCCTGTACCAACTTTGAACAAAACTGGATGACACATATCTGAGAAAAAGCTGTTAACAGCTAGAAAAAGCTTGTTTGTTTTTTTTAGATTTTTGAGGGGAAAAATGGCCTCCAAGTCGTAAAACTTTATCCAATCAAACAGGGCATGAATGACACTGAAAGTTGCAACATATAATTTGTCCAGTTTTTGGCATGGATGTAAATTGGCAAACATTGATTCTATAGCATTTTCAAGTTTATAGCACTCTCCATCCTGGTCTCAGCAAGAACACCAGACAGCAACAAACAAGTACAAGAGGTAAAATGACATGCAAGTATGCAAATCAGATCTGCAAATATGTTGAAGAGTCAGTGTTGTGTCTGTTTGGATAAACTTCCTTGTACAACTGTATTCCTAATACAAGAACACTGTCAATCACAGAACTATTCCAGCGAAAAACTTCTGATATTTTAGTCAGTAACAGGACAAAGATACCGTTTGTCATACAAGTACTAGCACCAGATGAGGAACTGAGAAACTGCAATGATCCTTGGTGTACATTACCTGTGTCAACAACTTTACTTTCCATGTACTTCATGTACAGATCTACATGTAGTTTGTGGCCCTAAATAAGGACAAGAGTACTTCTCATATGACAATGATACAAATAAAGTGCAAGAATCCAAAAAAATATTATCAAGTTTTTATTATCATACATTAATATTAACAAATCATGTGAAATTGAACTTTTATGTACAGAGAAACACATATTTATGCTTTGGTTGACAGCACTTCTCAAAGAAAAAAAAAGACGGCCTGCAAAACTTTATACAATTGTCAGACATGCAGCGAATAGTA